ACCACCACCCAAATAACTGTCCTCCCTTTCCGTTATGGTAGGTCCATTATAAAGTCCAGAGAAATGACCAGCCAGGGTATCTGGCTGCAACAGGCTGCAAGAGGCTGCAACAGTCTGGGGGGAGATTTCAGCCCACCGTTTCCCCATCAAACACACTTGGCAATTAGTCACGTATTGAGAGATGTCAGCCCACATCCATGGCCGCCAGAATTGTCTCTGTAAGAGGTGTGGAGTCTTTAAATATCCATAATGGCCAGCCAACTTATTGTCATGCCCTATTTGCAAAATTTCCCCCCTCAGGGAAAGTGGCATGAATAGCCTGTGTTGGCGAAACCAGCACCCGTTCTCCAGTTTTGTGAGTGTGCCCTTTTTTCTACTTCCTCCTTGTTGGCTTCAGTAAAAGCCGCCTTTAATTTTCCCACCCATGGCTCGGGACTGAGGCCCCCTCCTCTCTTGCCCAGCTGCTCGTGAGTACTGCCCCCCCAGCTGGGTGGGTGTGAACATAGAGTCAATGACTTCCTCTGACTGGTATGTTGGGGGAGGCACGAGAGGGCGTTAGTAAGAAAATTGGACTTCCCAGGAACTAGGGGCTCCTCCAGTTCTCATAACTTGACCCCTAATCCCATCACTAGTGCTGGGCTGATCAAGTCTCGGGTACACCCTAAATACACGAGGACACATACCCTAATGTAGGTGTGAAGGGAGGAATGGGTTACAGTCACAGTCATGTAAAAGAGAGGGGAAGTAGATCTCGGAGATTCTAGCATGGGAGCATTTTGGACCTGCCATTTAGCGCCCTTCACAGGGCTCTTCTCTCGTGAGCAGTTGGTGGTGAAATGTCCAGGGGGCCACACTTCAGGCACAGACCTTGCCATATCCTTTGCTCTCGGTCACTCCCAGAACTCTGGAGTCGGCCCTGTTGTGCCTTTGGTTCTCCTCCCAGCACCTTGGCCACCAGCTTTGGGTAGTATATCTTCAGCAGGTTGCAGCGGTTCTCTGCCTCACAGGCCACCTTGATCCAGCCATTCAGGGTTAGGGGGTTATCTTGGGCCAGAGCTTTGTCCAAGATGGAATGGTTCAAGCCTGTTCTGTGGAACTTGATGAGCACCTCTTCCAGCCACCCCTGCAGCTTGGCCACATACATCTTGAATTTGTCCGAGAACTCCCGGACAGATCGGCTGCCTTGCTTCAGCCCCCGGAGGCAAGTTCTGGCCTGTTCCAGCTCCAGGGGTCCCTCATATTGTCTGTGGGGGCCCCGCATGAAAGCATCCACATCTCTTGAGTCCTAGGCCACTCACACTGTACAGTCCCACAAATCAGTCGGCTATCTGGTCTCTTAGTCTTGACCCCAAGTAATCCACCTGGTGTTCGTCTGAGGCAAAAGTGTGGCCCCAGTCTCTCAGGAACTTCCGGACCTGGAGCATGAAGAACACCAACTTTCCCTGGGTCCCGTCGAACATGTCTTTGAGTGCGTCTCTAGGGGCAGTGGGGCTGGGGTGTGCCAGTGGTGGTTCTGGAGGGGCCTCGCCTCCTGGAGAGAGCCCACCCTCTGTGCCACCTCCCCCTGCTTGTAGTCCCAAGCCTCAAAGTTCCAGCTGTAGCACCTCCCAGATGGTGTCTGCCAAGCCCCTCAGGGCCTCTTGGGTGTCCCAGCACCGTTCTGCGATCTCTGCCTGCAGCTCCTGCTGAATCTCCTCAATCTCCATCTCTTCCAGGAGGTGGCCCTCTGCTCCCGCTCTTGCAACCAGCAAGCCTTTTGGGTTGTCATGCAAGATCCCAGAGGCCCAATGGTGGTCCCCCTCTGATTGCCATCACCAGACACCCAAGGGCCCCCCGGACGGGGTAACCCAGTCTGGGGCTTCCCATCAGTCCAGCCCGAGCCTAGGGGGCATGCACTTCACCCCCTTGTCTTCCTTCCCCTTCGGCTCCTCTATGTGTTTGTCAGGGGCGTTTTTGGAGTCAGGTGATTTCGGAGGAGCTGTAGTCCCCTTTTCCTCACTTCCTTCGCTCATTCCTGTTGCAGTGCGTCAGGTTGAGGAGAAGTCAGTTCTGACACTATGTCAAACTCTTGAACAAACTTACTCCCAACAACACTCTCTTGGCAGTGATTTGTTTACTGAGAGATAAAGACGTTTCAAGCTAAGATGATCTGTGTCAGAACTGACCCTCTTGGCATCAGTTCTGGTATTATACATGGTTCAAACAGCCCCCCCCCCCCCTGGGACCAGCCCAATCACACCAACACATACAGCCTGCCTAAATCTACTGTGCACCATTAACTCTCCCCCAGCACCTGCAAGCTTAGTATCTAGCAGTGTCTGGCATCCAAGGTCAAGCACACAGTCTTCCCAGAGATGGAAGGCCCTGCATAAACACAGTTACAAGTCAGTGCGACTTCCAATAAAGCGGCTTCTCACACACCCACACACATGCTCCCAGGCTCCCCCTCCCAACTAAAAGAAAACAGGATATGAGGCATACAAAATTCATAAGAAGCATACAGAATCATGGCTAACGAGGTCTGAGTTTGACGGAAATCAGAAATGGTGACAAAGAGGGGGGGAAACTAGAATCCTTTCACGAGTCCCTCATATGTACTAGGTGTGGTAAAATAGTGTGCTGCCAATTTACAGCTAAATGGATAATACTGCAATTGCATTGGAAGCTAAGAAGTCAGACTTAAAAATACCCTTTGGAAGGAACATCATCTGGGTTCGGAGGATTCAGTGAGTGAAAAATAGTGCCAATAATGGAGGGGGGAAAACAGATGGTGCATTAGTTACAAACTAAAAGTCTAAAAGCAATCTTCCAAAATGCCAACTAAAACTATTAATACTATTCTTGTTCCTAAGTACTCCTGTTTAGCAACAATAACTCACTTTGGACCACACTCTAAATTGAAAGTCACAGACAACATGACAGTCACATGTCTACTTCTTCTTTATAGCTTAATTTGTATTTTGACATTGTAACTTTCCATATCGTTCTATCAGTCACAATTCCATCAGTGGCAATCAATGCTCTAGGGTAAGCAATGAAGTTGTGATGTCAAGACAAGTTAGCATGGGATATGCTTTGGGAGCCTCTGTTTCAGTGGGATTTATGCATAACAACCAGTCTCTTTGGATTCTTTGCTCTTGGGGGATTAACGTTGGTGGTGCCGACTGCCCCAGAACATTCCTGTTCCTCAGCAGTCAGTATTTGCATGGGACAGAGAAAGTTCCATCTCGGCCCAGGAGCTGAACCTGTTTCTCATCTCCAAGGCAGACCTAAATCCAGATTAGTGAACAGTTTCCTCAGAATTCTTCCCATGGTTTTTGCACTCTATACTTTTGGAATTGTATGCTGATATATATAAGCGGATTGCAAAGGTGTCATACTGGGCGGGAAACTTCCCCGCAATAGTTCATTAAGTGTGGATACGGGCTCTATGCTGCCCCCCCGCCATAGTTGACAGGCAACTAGATATCATATCCGTGCAGTTTACGTGACCTGTCTCAATTTATGAAAAAGAATTTGGTCACCTAAGATTCTCACAAATTTGGCTCCTCTTACAGCTAGACAGCAAAGGGAGTATATAGACTCAACAGTGTTAGATACTATGAAGCCAAAGGGCAGCTACCAATGCAGTTGCCATTTTCAGCAGAAACCGCATGCTTGCCACAGAATCTAGCTTGTGCTTACATTTTTCAAGAGGCTCCCACAAAGCCCCATGTAAGTTGGAGATTTGCTTTAATGGAGGCAATCTATGACTTAAATTAATGATTACCCAGATACGAGCAGACATTCTGAAATGCTTTAAACACACTATGACAAGTCTTGCTAATAGATTTGTCTTATTTTACAACACTTAATAAAGTTATCACATTTAAGTAAGGCTCAGTCATAACAAATGTGTCCTCCTTACGGTTTTCTGTTGGCCTGCAGTCAAAATGTATCTGATAAGGCAGTGAAAGGAGATAAGAGACTTGTGGAAATCTTTACAAAATGAGCCTCTTATAAACTACGCCACACTTGTAGTGACAGATTTACATGGATGATGCTTAAACATGGTGTGAGGCAGAGCACCCCTGGCTCCCCCCCCTAAAGGGTTAATGTGAATGGTTACAGGCCTGTTCCATCCTGCAGTTTACAAATTGGTCTCTGGACCTACACGGCCCTTATCTTCAAGATCAGATATGGAAATGCGGTAATTAGCCTCTCATGAGACCCTGCAGACCACAGGTGGGAGGGGGAGAATCAGGATTGATGAGGTAATTTTCCAGAAAGTTCTAGCAAGAATGGGTCCTGATTGGGTATCATTAACAACTGATGCTGCTTGACCAAAAAACTATAATTGAGCTAAATGTCTGGAGAAAGAAAGGTGGTTTGGATTCTGATTGACTATGATATTTTTATATTGCAATAGACATCAATGTAGAGAACGCATGGTTTTGAAAATACAGGTCTTGTTTTCTGCTGTATGACTTTAGAGTACTGTGTTGCCTATAGATTATATATTTTGTTAGACTGAAACTTCATGTAATTTTAATAAAATTCAAGAAAGGTCTGGTTACTTGTGTGACTTGTATACAACAGCCCTGGAGACTTTTGGACTCCTTGACATATGGATATATAGGATTTTATTTTTAAACCATTTTATTTGAAGATTGGTTGGGAATGTTAACTTCTAATTGGTTGGGAATTGTTAACTTATATTTTTTTAATGTTTCGTTTTCCTTGAGAATGTCTCTGAAATTTTGTAACGCCTTTGAAATTTTCGAAATAAAATTTTAAAAAAATTAAATTTAAAGAGTGGTTGGGAAGCATTTAAGGTCAAGGACTTCCCAGCATGGTTTGTTTGTGATATCTATACATCAAAGAAAGAGCCATGGGAAAGTTTAATAAAAGATCAAGCTATTGAAAACTATTAAAAGCAGGATTACCCCTGAAATGTACCAAATAGCCTCTTGTTTTGTATGTAACCAAACATGTTACATTCACCTTTTGGAGAATCTTACCTTGCCTTTTTGAGTTAAAGGCTCAATCGTTAAGGAGTCAGGACCAATATCCACAATAATTCCCATCCAAAACCCATCAGTTGGGTGTGGAGCCCAAACAGGCTTCCCATCCTCCATTTTGAGGAACTCCTGTAAAGAGAAGAAACAGCCATAAGTAAATCTATTCTGCAAAACATGTTCTTGCAGAATTTTTGATTTCATCCCTTTCCCAATTTCCTTACCAAGAAACACTTAACTATTATGACAGTACCTAACATATTGCAGTGGTAAGTATTACTTTGACAAGAGGTTAGCTTCTAGGACGAAAACATATTGTTCATGCAGTAGAACTAGAAGCAGAATGATTTGTAGCATAACGGCATGAGCGTACTGTCCTACAGTAGCAGTGAGGTACATATGTACGCAAGTGCAAGACTTACAGAATGCTGAGCACCAGTTCCCACACTCATCACAACTCACTGTTAGGATCGATGGGCTTAAAGAACATGACAGATGGAAATTTGAAAAGCATACGAAAGGCTGGATTTTGTACAGTGCACTTGGACATACACAGTTTGCACTTTCAGTTCTTTCACTTGAATATTCACCTTCTCCATGCAACTAAGCATAGTTGTATCCCAATTATGGGTATGGCCATGAAAATATCAGTAACCAAAATTTGAATCCAGTGGCACCTTTAAGACCAACACAGTTTTATTAAAGTTGTAAGCTTTCATATGCATGCAGACTTCTTCAGATACGAATCTAAGAAAGACTTAAGCATACTAACAAGCTCTACTCTACAGGCTTTACTTACGAACAATTTTTATTTCCATTTATATCCTGCCTTTTTCCCTAATGGGGAACCACAACAGCTGACATCATTCTGTTCTGCTCCATTTTAAGCTGAGTGTGTGTGACTGGCCCAAAGTCACCCAGCAAGCTTCTATGGCAGAGTGGGGATTCAAACTCGGGTATCTCAGATGCCAGTTGGACATTCTAACCACTGCAGCATTCTGACTTGATTTCAGCATTTCATGAGCATTGAACAAATATGTTGTGGGATGAAGTTAAAAATTTATTTAAGAACATAAGAACATAAGAGACGCCAATGTTGGATCAGGCCAAAGGCCCATCCAGTCCAACACTCTGTGTCACACAGTGGCCAGAAATACCAGTGCCATCAGGAGGTCCAGCAGTGGGGCCAGGACATTAGAAGTCCTCCCCCTGTTGACCCCCCCCAAGCACCAAGACAGAGCATCACTTGCCCCAGAGCCCCTAGCTATACCTTGTGGCTAATAGCCACTGATGGACCTCTGCTCCATATGCTTATCTAATTCCCTTTTGAAGCCGTCCATGCTTGTAGCACCCACCACTTCCTGTGGCAGTGAATTCCATGTGTTAATCACTCTTTGGGTGAAGAAGTACTTCCTTTTATCCGTTCTAACCCGACCGCTCTGCAGTTTCATGGAGTGCCCACGAGTTCTTGTATTGTGAGAAAGGGAGAAAAGTACCTCTTTCTTTACCTGCTCTTTCCCATGCATAATCTTATAAACCTCGATCATGTCACCCCTCAGTCGTCTTTTCTCCAAGCTAAAGAGCCCTAAGCGCTTTAACCTTTCCTCATAGGGAAAGTGTTCCAACCCTTTTATCATTCGAGTTGCCCTTTTCTGCACTTTTTCCAAAGCTATAATATCCTTTTTAAGGTGTGGTGCCCAGAACTGCACACAGTATTCCAAATGAGGTCTCACCATTGATTTATATAGGGGCATTATTATATTGGCTGATCTGTTTTCAATACCCTTCCTAATAATCCCCAGCATAGCATTGGCCTTCTTTATTGCAGTCACACACTGTCTCGACATTTTCAGTGAGTTATCCACTACAACTCCAAGATCTCTCTCTTGCTCAGTCTCTGCCAGTTCAGACCCCATCAATGTGTATTTATATTTAGGATTTTTGGCTCCAATGTGCATCACCTTGCACTTGGCCACATTGAACCCCATTTGCCATGTTGACGCCCACTCGCCCATCCTTGACAGATCCCCTTGGAGTGCCTCACAATCCTCACTGGTTTTCACCACCCTGAACAACTTTGTATCATCCGCAAATTTAGCCACTTCACTGCTTACTCCCATCTCCAAATCATTAATGAACAAGTTAAAAAGCAGTGGACCAAGTACTGATCCCTGCGGTACCCCACTGCTTACCACCCTCCACTGAGAAAATTGCCCACCTACACTCACTCTCTGTTTTCTATGAACTAGCCAGTTTTTGATCCATAAAAGGACTTGTCCTTCTATCCCATGATTTTTGAGCTTACTTAGGAGCCTTTGATGAGGAACTTTATCAAAAGCTTTCTGGAAGTCAAGGTAAATAATATCTATTGGATCCCCCTTGTCCACATGTTTGTTCACCCCCTCAAAGAACACTAACAGGTTAGTGAGACAAGATCTTCCCTTACAGAAACCGTGCTGAGTCTGCCTCAATAGGTTTTGTTCATCTATGTGCCTACTAATTCTTTCCTTAATAATGGTTTCCACCAATTTACCCGGTATCGACGTCAGACTGACTGGCCTGTAATTTCCCGGATCTCCTCTGGAACCCTTTTTAAAGATGGGAGTGACATTAGCTACCTTCCAATCCTCAGGAATGGAGGCAGATTTTAAGGAAAGATTACATATCTTTGTCAGGAGATCTACAAGTTCACATTTGAGTTCTTTCAGAACTCTCGGATGTATGCCATCTGGGCCTGGTGATTTTTCAGTTTTTAAGTTGTCTATCAGTTTTAGGACCTCCTCTCTCGTCACCTCAATCTGACTCAGGTCTTTCAACACCCCTCCTGAAATCAGTGGTTCTGGAGTGGGCAAGCACTTCTCATCTTCCACAGTGAAGACGGAGGCAAAAAATGCATTTAGCTTCTCAGCCATTTCCCTATCATCCTTCAATACTCCTTTTACCCCTTGGTCGTCCAAGGGCCCCACTGCCTCCCTGGCTGGTTTCCTGTTTCTAATGTATTTGAAGAAAGTTTTATTGTTGGTTTTTACGTTTTTTGCTATATGCTCCTCATATTCCCTTTTTGCCTGCCTGACCTCAGACTTGCATTTTATTTGCCATAGCCTGTGTTCCGTTTTATCAGCCTCACTGTGACTAGCTTTCCACTGCTTAAAGGAATTCTTTTTACTTTTTACAGCCTCCATTACTCTGTTTGTTAACCATGCAGGCTTTTTCCTATACCTGTTTGTGCCTTTCCTAACCTGCGGAATATATATTTTTTGAGCTTCTAGGATCGTAGTTTTAAATAGATCCCAAGCTTCCCCAATTGTTTTGACCCTTTCTACTTTTCCTTTCAGTTTCCTCCCCACGTGTCCCCTCATATCAGAGAAATTACCCCTTTTAAAGTTAAAAATGGTTGTGTGAGTCTTTTTGGCCAATTCTCTATTTGTACAAATGATGAACTCAACAACATTATGATCACTGTTTCCAAGCGGTGCAATCACTTTTACATCTCTCACCAGGTCTTGAGTGTTACTTAGGACCAAATCAAGGATCGCCTCTCCCCTGGTAGGTTCCGTGACCATCTGCTCCATAGCACAGTCATTTAGAGTGTCTAGAAACTCAATCTCTTTTTCCCGGCTAGAACACATATTGACCCAATCAATGTGTGGGTAGTTAAAATCACCTATTATTACACAGTGTTTTTGTCTAGTTGCTATCTTTAAGGCATTCATCATTTTATAATCCTCCTCTATCTTTTGATCTGGTGGGCGATAACAAACTCCCAGTGTTAAGTTTCCTTTTGGCCCCCCTATTTCAACCCATAGAACTTCCAGAAGCGAATCCAATTCACTTAGCCTCTCAATCTTTCTAGACTTTATACCCTCTCTGACATACAGAGCTACCCCACCTCCAACCCTTCCCCCCCCTATCCTTCCGATATAATATATAACCCGGAATCACTGTGTCCCACTGATTTTCCTCATCCCACCAAGTTTCAGAAATACCCACAATGTCTATTTTTCCCTCCGACACCAAGCACTCCAACTCCCCGATTTTACCTCGGACACTTCTAGCATTTGTATAGAAACAGCTGTAATTTCCCTTACAAGTTAAGCCTGCATCCTTCCTCTTGCTATCTCGAGTCGTTGTCCGGCAGTCCATGTCACCAGCCATGGCCTCTGTGGACAATTTCAATCCACCTCCCTGTAGAAAAGCAACCGGTACCCCCTCACCTCTCTCAGATGAGCCAACCCGAACCAGAGACTTTTCATCTCCTGTCGGCTTTCCCCCAATATTCAGTTTAAAAGCTGCTCTGCCACCTTTTTGATTTTAAGTGCCAGCAGCCTGGTTCCTTCTCGGGACAAGTGGAGACCGTCTCGCCTGTACAGCATGACTCTAGAAAATCTAACCACCTGTATCTTACAACTTCATATAATGCCATTTTTTATCAAGATCAGCATTAATCCAACACTCGAGGAAAACTATTTGACCAGTTACAACCATACTATTAAATCTAAACTCCTTGCTATAAGCTTCCACTGGTAATTAAGTGCACAGAGCTTTCCACTGGAAAGTGATCAGATTTGAGTTTTTGTCCTGTCATACCACATGACATTCTTTAAAATTCTGACCTAATATTATACATCCTGCACACCATCCCCAAACAATAAACAGGAAAAAAAAGCTTATAGGTACACCCATTCTTCTGCTTTTCACTTGGTGTCTTAACTCTTGTCTTGGTCGATATCAGGCAATATTTTATGAAAGCTGAATAAGAAAAGGCTTTCAATTTACCAGGAACTTCTCCTATGCAAATAGATAGCAAGGACCCTTTCATGGACACTGGCCAAAGGGTCTGACATTACCTATTCAACTGACCAAACTCACAGAAGGGTTCATGCTTCCCACTCCAGGCCTTGTGTTCAATTTTTTCTTATAAGCCATTCACTATCAGGAGTTGCTCCTGCAAGTCTAAAAGATTATTTGGGTTTTCGGATAAGATCTTCCTGAAAACTGAAATTAGGGGAGCCCCTTGTTGTTGCTGTTCAGTAGAGAAGCAGACAGGGGCGTGGGATGGTATTAATAGCTTCACTGAAAAACAACTACTGCAGTTTAAAACTTGATCGCTACATCAATAAGATGGTCCAACA